CTGCCGCGCTCCGGCACTCGGCAAACTTAGACAAAGGGCTAATTATTGCGCCCCGCGCTCCGCTTGGCGCTCCGTTTCCATTATTTATTTATTTGTTTTATTTTTTTTGGCGGCGCTGGGGAGGTATTTGCATGGGAAAAGCGCTGGCGCGGCACCCCCTCCTTTCTCCCTTTGCAAAACACCCTTTTTTTTTTTTTTTTTTTTTGGTGTCCCCCCCTCCCTCCTCCGTCTCCCCTTTTGCGCTGCCCTATTGACATTGCACGGAATACTTGAGCTGCTTAAGGGAATTAAAGAGGGGGAGCAAAAAAAGGAAAAAAAAAAGGGGGGGGGAAATCCGACGTGAATGTAACTCCTTCGGAGTTGGTATTCAGCAACACAAATCAACTCATGACATGTTTAAATTTAAATGCTAACCACACACTCCGCGAGTTACTTTAAAGGTTAGTTTTTAATCAATAGAAGTTGCTGACTCGGGAGTTCTGCGGCGCACTGCAGCTCCGGGGCCTTTGTCTCGCGCTCCGCTCTCAAACTTTCTTTTCTCCCCCCCCGCCTCTTCCCGAGATGATTTTAGCAATGATTTGCAGACACAGAGCGCTATTGTGCTCCCGACTAGCAACATGTCAATAAAGGAGTAGAGTTACCGTGCGCCGGGGTGTCAATATGACTCCTGCAGGCACCGCGCGGGCTTAATACCCGGGAAAAAACTTAATTAACCCTTGCGCCACAGCGAGCCCGGGCTGCGCGGGTGTTTTTCCCTGGCGGGGGGACGTTCCTGCGCACAAGGTGCGCTCGGCACCGGTGGACGCTCCGCAGGCTGCAGCACGGCAGGGGCGYGTTGCCCATCGGCCGCTCCGTGCGCTCCCGCTCCGGCCGGTCAGGGCTGCAGCGCCGCAGGCCAGAGCGCCTCCGAGCGCGTCCCTGTCCCATGGTGGTGCCCGGCTGAGCGGTTTTGCAGGACTGGGAGGTTCAAGGCATGGAAAGGGGCGGACATGGGCGCTTTGGGAGCTCGCAAGTGTTGCAGGCTGCTCCCAACACGCTGCAAGCTCTGCTCGTGCGCTCTGTCCCGTTGCATCCCACGACCCTCATGTACAAAGGAGCGCGGAGCTAAAGGGACGCGCGGATGCACCGGAGCGACGGCTGCTCCGGAGCGGGACGCCCCGGACCCGCCGTGGGGCCCTGCGGAGCCTCGCGCCGTCCTCTGCCTGCCGCCAAGGTGAAACATCAGAGAGCAGCGCGCGGGCGGGACGAGCGCCGCGCTCCCCTCTCTCCAGGCAAATGAAGAAGTAATCTCATCAGGTTGGAAAGTGCTGACTAAGGATTTAATAAAGTGCCTGCAGATGTGTGTCATCTCTAAGGTATTCAACTCATGTAATGCAAAACAGTTCCACAGCGAACGTGCTCATAAAACCCCGTTTAACCATTGCGGGGCTCCGCTCTGCTGTCCTCGCTGGGGTTTTGCTGCCCTTTCCCCCCCTACTCCCAATTTACAGCACCGTGAAAGCCGAAACTCCATCCTGCCACTACGTGCGCGCTCGCGGTAGTAGCGTTTTATGAACCACAAACAATATCTACTTGACCGAATCCGAACCGGGAAGCCGGGATGGCGGCTGTGCAGCCCTGACAGCTCCTGCTTGTTCCCTGGGCTGCTCCGGAGCGCGCAGCTCATCCCGCTGCCGAGGGCCTCTCTGCATCCGAGGAGCAGCAGGGAACCCCCTGCAGCTCAGGGTGCTCAGGAGAAGAGCCCAAGGCTCCTCCTTGACGTCGGCGTCAGGTTGTGCYGACATCGGGAATGGGAAACCAGGCCCGGTGCTTCTGAAAACCCTCTGYGAACAGCCCTCACGCTCTTGGAAAAGGGAAGGCCGTCGAGTGAGGACTTGTCCGACATCCCGGCACATCCCCCCCCGCAACAAGGAGACCTTTCAGCGAGCACGGAAGAAAGGAAGGAAAAAAAAAAATAAAAAAACAAAACCCCCGAGGGCTGCAAAGCAGCCGTATCTGTTTTTCAAATTAAAAAGTTAAACAAAAGTCCTCAAGGGCAAAGTTTAGCGCGGCGGAAGGAGGTTGTTAATGTGGAATCCAGCGCTGGGTGTGACGGTTGGCTCCTCTCTCCGGGCTCCGCAGGTTATTTAAGGACATTCGCACATTTGAAACCCCGGCAGACTCCCCGCGCGGGAGCCGGTTGCGGCGTCACCCCCGGGGCCGGCGCCGCTCGGCGCGGGGCGCTCGTGCCGCGTCTCGGCCCGCCGGGCCGGCACGGGGAGCCGAGCTCGCCAACGCCCGCCCGGGCCGCGGGAAAAGAAAACAGCATTGATAAGAGCTGCAATTATATAAAAATAAATAAAAATGCAGCTTGAGYGCTTGCTGGCGCGCTCGGGCAGCAGAGCCGAGCGGCGGCGGTGGCTGCGGGCAGCTGCGAGGGCTCATCCCAGCCAAGGGGCTCCTTGGCAATACGGGGACTGCCATCCCCATCATCTCCACAACTTGAGGGCCACCAGAAACACGACCCCCGGAAGGTGAACTGGGATAAGAAGCTTTCCAGATTTAAAGATAAATGATGCCCATGGCCAGCTGGTGCTGTGGACACTGCTTGAAGTCCAAGGGATAGATGTGGGTCTTTGGTGGCCTTTCCAAAGGGTCGTTGACAGGAGCAGCACCGGGGGCATCTCGGCTCCCACCGGTGACGACGCTGGGGCCACGTTACCCACCCTGATCCAGTCCCGTTTCCCTATTGCTCTCTGCGGGCAGCACTCCAATCCTGCGGCGCAAACCCAAAGGTGGATATCGAAGACAAGGTCACCTTTGTGCCCCTGCAAGTTACTTTCTTCGAGCTGGGATTCATTATTTAGCAATTACGTTTKCCCACGCGCAGTCCCCAAGGGGACGCGAGCCGCGTGCTGGTTATCCCGAGGGGCCCAGAGCAGCGAGCGCATCTCCCACTGGTCCCGAAGCGGGTGCAGGCGAGCACACCCGCACAGCAGCTCTGCGCCCGACGGCTTTGCCGAGCGTGCCAAGTGTGGCAAACTGCACTGAACTATCTGCAACAGTTCCGTAACGCGGACCTCGGCCTGCTGACTAGTACCAATGTGTGGCAGTGCAAACCACGTCTCCCGCGGGAGCCGCCACCGCGCTCCAGGTGCTTGCCGCGAGCCCGGCCCGGACCCCGCGCGCGGCACCGGCCGGCGCTGAACCCYGTCACCCTGACCAAGGTCCTGCGGACGCCCCCGTGGGCTCCCAGCTGCCCCACGGGTTTCCTGAGCCCTCCAAGCAGTGTTGGGTTGAAGCCACGTCGTGGCCCCATGGAGCGCGCGGCCGGCCTTGCGCCGTCCAGCTGGATCACGGGAACTG